TTGCATTCCCTACTAGAAACCAATTTCGAAAGAAAATTCAAAGGACTATAACTTTTGAACTAGTAGCCCAATCTAGGAACTGTTTGAAATTATGGATTCTACAGGCCACATTCTATAAGAAAATTTTTTTTTCCGGTCGATCTGAGCAATTTTTTTTTCGGAGCTCAAAAAAAGGCAGTGTATAACCTTCCTTTTTTACCAAAAATCGACTACACCAAAATTTCTCGGGAAAACTTTTTCTTATTAATTTGGATGCGTAGAATCCAAATCAATTCGTACTTTTTCGATCAGACTTCTCAATCAAAAGTTATAGACTAGAAACCAATTTCGAAAAAAAATTCATAGGGCTGTAACTTTTGAACTAGTAGCCCAATCTTGGAACTGTTTGAAATTGTGGATTCTACAGGCCACGTTCTATAAGAAAAATTTTTTTCCGGGTCGATCTGAGACAATTTTTTTTTCGAGGCAAAAAAAAGGCAGTGTATAACCTTCCTTTTTTCCAAAAATCGACTGCACCAAAATTTCTCGGGAAAACACTTTTTCTTATTAATTTTGGTGCGTAGAATCCAAAACAATTCGTACTTTTTCGATCAGACTTCTCAATCAAAAGTTATAGACTAGAAACCAATTTCGATAGAAAATTCAATGGGCTGTAACTTTTGAACTAGTAGCCCAATCTAGGAACTGTTTGAAATTATGGATTCTACAGGCCACATTCTATAAGAAAATTTTTTTTCCGGGTCGATCTGAGACAATTTTTTTTTCGGGGCTCAAAAAAAAGGCAGTGTATAACCTTCCTTTTTTACCAAAAATCGACTGCACCAAAATTTCTCGGGAAAACACTTTTTCTTATTAATTTTGGTGCGTAGAATCCAAAATAATTCGTACTTTTTCGATCAGACTTCTCAATCAAAAGTTATAGACTAGAAACCGATTTCGAAAGAAAATTCAAAGGGCTGTAACTTTTGAACTAGTAGCCCAATCTTGGAACTGTTTGAAATTATGGATTCTACAGGCCACATTCCATAAGAAAATTTTTTCCGGGTCGATCTGAGACAATTTTGTTTGAGGGCCTCAAAAAAAGGCAGTGTATAACCTTCCTTTTTTACCAAAAATCGACTGCACCAAAATTTCTCGGGAAAACACTTTTTCTTATTAATTTTGGTGCGTAGAATCCAAAACAATTCGTACTTTTTCGATCAGACTTCTCAATCAAAAGTTATAGACTAGAAACCAATTTCGAAAGAAAATTCAAAGGGCTGTAACTTTTGAACTAGTAGCCCAATCTTGGAACTGTTTGAAATTATGGATTCTACAGGCCACATTCTATAAGAAAAATTTTTTTCCGGGTCGATCTGAGACAATTTTTTTTGAGGGCCTCAAAAAAAGGCAGTGTATAACCTTCCTTTTTTACCAAAAATCGACTGCACCAAAATTTCTCGGGAAAACACTTTTTCTTATTAATTTTGGTGCGTAGAATCCAAAACAATTCGTACTTTTTCGATCAGACTTCTCAATCAAAAGTTATAAACTAGAAACCAATTTCGAAAGAAAATTCAAAGGGCTGTAACTTTTGAACTAGTAGCCCAATCTTGGAACTGTTTGAAGTTATGGATTCTACAGGCCACATTCCATAAGAAAAATTTTGTTCCGGGTCGATCTGAGACAATTTTTTTCGAGGGCCTCAAAAAAAGGCAGTGTATAACCTTCCTTTTTTTACCAAAAAATCGACTGCACCAAAATTTCTCGGGAAAACACTTTTTCTTATTAATTTTGGTGCGTAGAATCCAAAACAATTCGTACTTTTTCGATCAGACTCCTCAATAAAAAGTTATAGACTAGAAACTAGGGAATGCAATACCGGGATTGCGGGATCTCGAAATACCGGGATCCCGCAGCATTTTTGCGAGATTAATCCCGCACATAAATGGAGCGGGATCCCGCGGGATTTGCGGGACTGAGGAATTTGTCGACCAAGGGGACAACTCTGTTTACTTTGTTAATGAAACTGATAACGGCGAATTATTTTTTAAATAATTGTTAAACTTTTTTCGTTAAAAATGTACTATGATTTTTGAGGCACTTTAGAAGACTTTTTGTGCTTTACAGGTAAGGTTTTTTGAGTTCTAAGTTAGGCCGAAGGTACCTTTTTGTTAAATATTGTGATAATTAAGGATTTATTTTAATACAGACCGCACAGAATTGCTTATTTGCCAATTTATTTAAAGTTTTGCGAGATCCCGCAAATTCCGGGATTGAGATTTTGCTGCGGGATTGCATTCCCTAAGCGCTTCTAATTGTTGAAATCCTAAGAGTTTCTTTCTTGTTATGCTTTCCATCGAGATACGTAATGCTGACAGACATCTGGACAGGATTGTAAGTGCTCTAAAGAGCACTTAAATACCGTGCATGTAAATTTCACTAGATGTAATGGGGCGTCGTCAATCCATGTCTTTACCATACAATACATTTCTGATACGAATGGACTAGGACTCATGTCATGCTTGTCATTGAATTTTTAAAGGATAAAACTGAGAAACTGCTTCCGATGCTCCTTTTCAATATTACATTCTGCACCGCTTGAGTCCTTCTTAAAATTGTAATTTACTGATATGAATTAGTTTGGTGTTTACCTCCGTGCTGTAAAACTAGCGATTTAACACTTAAAAAAGCTCATGTTATTCCCGTACCCGTACGCAGTAAACCTACTTTTTAAAATGGCGTTTAGTTCCACCTTTACTAGTTCATGTGTTTTTTTAAATATCCGAATATAAAACAAAGTTAGTATACTCCTTTCACAAAATTATGTCATTTTGTCTTCTGTTCTGAGTATTGAGACTCCTTCGACAGGTGGATGGGCGAATATTTGATGCATTTTGAATAATCGGCCAAAAAGTGTTGTTTCATTTTTTTGTGATTTGACTACCAACATCCACGTCGAACCTTCGTACCTACCTACATCTAGCAAATAATTCTTTTGGTAATAATTATTATGGCCAACAGTTTCACCTGTTGCTTACGAAACTTCCGAGTTGGAAACGTCGTCCTCTAGATTCAAAAACTTTTCTTGCTCCGCTTCATTTGCCAATTAGTCCGGCCTTCCCGTTTGCAGATTTGTGTAACAATATTGGGCGATACTTGAAAATTTTTAGAATACCTCGCAGATTCCGAGAATGTGCAAGTGCGTTTAAGGGCAGAAACAACCCCTTATGAAATATTGTGAATTGGCTAAGATATTTTAAATTTAAAGAGTAGTATTTATTAATACAAAAAAGTGTGTAAAACTAGTTCCATCCCCTAAGTTATTACTTATTAGAGGTTGAAAATATACAAATACGCCATATATTAGATGCCGAAGCGCTCGATTTGTCATTTTTAAAATAAGACGGAGTATGGCCATTTGAAATAAAGGGCTATAAATGTTAATATTTTTCCAAATAGTATAAAAGCAAACACATTTTTCAAAAGCAAGAATAATCATGAATGTTTATAGATTTTTATTAATGTTTAGATACAAATAAAATAGATATAAACAAACCACGTTTAAAGAAACATCCAACATCTTCAAAAATGCTTCATCCGTCAGTCCAAAGATGCTTCGTCTGATGAATCTTCTGAATCCAAGTTGGTTTCCTCTAAAACCCCGACATTTGCATAAAAATTACATTACCTTCAAATTTAATACTTCGTCAGGGGTACAGGGAAGATCACAAATTATGGATTCAAATTCACCACTAACCACCCATATTGCGATGTTGGTGGTAAACATGAATGGGGAAGTATGTCTCAATGCCATTCCATGCACTGATATAGCCATCTAAGTTTTGCTGGTTTTAAAGCTGCTAGGGTGGGTGGCATATTGTCACTGGAACATTGTTTTTGAATCCTTTTTTGAAATTGCTGTCGCTTCTCTAAGAAGATCTGCGAGGATTCATGGCTCAAATTTTGAAACTTTTCTCCTTGTTACAAAAAAACACATTTTTTGTATAGGTACGTCTTGCTTTTGCTTCTCGTAAAAAAATCCGTAGTAGTCTGTAGTTGATCCTCACCAAACGTTCATTTTTTCCTGTCGAGGGTTCCATTCTTTATTCTTGATCAGTGCGGCTGCCAAGTTCCTGTAGGTCGCCTCCGAGCACCAATTTTCCTGTGGTCCCCACTCCAGTAAACACAAACAGCACCTGTCACTATCAAAGTTTGTTTCACACTTAGGTGCTTTATGGTGTTCATACTTAAAATGTATTATTATTAATTATGTCCAAAGTTTTAGGGGAACTTCACCTGAAAAAAAAAGAAAATCAGTCACTAAGAAATAATCTAAGAGCTTTTCCAATTTATTTTATCATCTAAGATAAAAAGCTCCACTTTTTACATAAATATGTAACAAGTGAAACTAGGTATATTGTATTGAAAACTGTAACATTCAAATGTTGGTTATAATGAAAAATAATACACATCGCTTACTTTATAATAATTTATTTAAAAAATGGGGTTGGTAAGAAAACTACATTTGTATGTATTTACAATTATTTATTTAAGAAATGGAGGTGAGGGACAAGATCGAAACAAAAAAGAAAACTTTTGTATTTTAGGGGTGAGGGTATGGGTGAGTTTCATCCAACTGTTACTCCCGCAACAATTTTTATTTAGATTTAGTCACTTTTTAGGCCATACTCTCTCTTATCTTAAGTAAAAATAACTATTTTTTAATTATGCAACAATTTTTGTACATAATTTTGTGTTATTTCATTTTTGTTCCTTTAGGGATGCTAAGGGGGTGAGTTATACCTCTCTGCCATATTTGTTAAAGACGACCCATCAATGTTCACATTCTACAAGATTTTCTGAAAATTTTGAGGTAGTGCATATTTCAGTGGGTAATATTCGTTACCAATATGCATTTTATTTGATTATTTTGGGTCACTATAAACAATTGCAAATGAAACTCTTGAATATGTCGTTCATTACAAACCACACTGTCGTAAAGTTTAAATATTTTTCAGTTGAGGCTCAAAAAGATTTTCATCGTAAAAAAGCGGAAGAAAGGGCGGTAGTTGAAACAACAGTTCCAACGACGACTACGACAACGAGGCACACACCAGCGCATAATATCATGGAATATCCCATGGAACAAATAACTGTAGTGAGTTATACACAGGCTTCCGTGCAAACTCGAGGAAGTACAGCGGCCGAATACGTTGCTCCTCCAATCGCACCCACAACAACTACGACCACAACCACTACAACACGCACAACGACTACAACTATAGGAACTACTACAGTTCCTCCAAGTAAGACAAACAACTTCGTTCAAATTCAAACTGAAGTGCACTTTTAGGGTATTGCATTTTTCAAAGGCACGACTTTCCCGACCAGTATATCAAAGAGGGAACTCTTAAAAGGGTAAACAAGCGATAACACTTCTGTATCGGCTTCTATCACTTATATCTTCCAGATTTATCACGAAGACGAATCGGATTGTTCCGAAATATGTAAATGTGGTAAACCGGAAGAATTAGTTTGTAAGACGATGTGTGTTGATCGAATGCCTTGTAAATCAGAGTTTGCGTTTTACAATCACGCAGCACCCGCGTTTCAGGCGTACCGTGGTAGATGCCTGTGCTACTCTGGGCGGTTTATTTGTATGAAACCGGCACCTGGTGATTACAACCTACCCCAAGGGATTTTCCTGTTCCTCGGTTATAGCGAGGTTGATGAGCAGCAATTAAAAAATCACACGGAAATTGTGGTACAAGACGTAGTCCATGCCTTACAAGAATTTATTTTACGCGAAGCTGTTAATGGGGTAATTTCTATAAGTGTGTGGTAGTCTTTTGGGCTAATTTCGCAATTTTTTCAGACTCTCTGCGCGCTTCAACTGTACAACGTTACAACAGAAAATGTCATAATAGCCGGAAAACTGTCTTCTGACGAGGTCGACTATAACATGCTATCGCCCAAAGAAAGTTTGGCGAAAGAGAAGGTACGTAAATCTTCGACGTTAGGCTCTAATTATACACTTAGCACGGCATTGATTGCGGATGAAATTAAAAGCAGTTGAATTACACGAATTTACCGTAACACTTTTTAATGAACGTGTGTATTTTAAGACCACGGGGATGCACGCAATATTGATCTTTCTAAGAAACCGCTTGCATGTGTTTCAACAGAATGGATACCATATTTTAACATAGTCAATGAAAATACAAATCCGAATTTAGGGCCCAATCGTTGCACTTGCAAGCTCATTATCTGCCGCTTGAGAGGGATATGTTTCCATTGATTAGCATCCTGTTTCTATATCGACGGAAGTAAAGTTTTCCCATTATCATGCATGTATTGACTATAAATTACGGAATGTTATCGGCATTAACCCCTATGTATACACCATGCCGCCGATATAGATAACACAACAAAGTGATGACGCCGGCGACGGAAAATATTCTTACCTTTAGGTATGTTGCGAAGTTGTGTTTGCTTCATTCACACCCTCCTTATCCTTCATATCGGTTTGACCACAATTCAAAAATAGTGTCCTTTTCTTATTCCTACGTAATCTATTTTACGTCTTGGCCACCAGAGTCCTACGTGTTTTTATAAACTTAATCAAAATATTTGCAAGAGGGTAGCGATCGACAACTACTTATAGGTCGCATAAAAAAATTAGATGTCTTTCTTCCACCACTACCACGTTCGTTTTCGCCACTAAGGGTTGTAATTGAAACGATAAACTGCTTAATCTATCCTCATGACTCTTTTGGTTGTCGAAAATATGGCTCACTAGCTTAAACATGTTTTTAGCGCATTTTTGCAAAAATTTTTTTTTGTAAAAAGTAGCTTTTAATCTCACTTTGGCTGGCTGCCTGGCTGGCTGGCTGGCTGGCTGGTCGGCTGGCTGGCTGGCTGGCTGGCTGGCTGGATGGCAGTAAATGCGCGCCCGTAGAAAAACGCTTGTAAAAAGACAAGGAGTGTACATGTAACTATCGGGGCCGTGTAATTAAGAACGTTAGGGATGGGGCTACAAGATTTGGAGTCGACGACATCTGGACGCCATCCCCGAGCGTATTATACTAACCTGGAGATTTTTCAGTTTTTATCTATCTTCTTCTACAGTTTTTCTCCGATTGTTTTCAAATTGGTGTCGTCGGGAAGATCTTGTCAACGCGCACAACTCCTGCGTGGCGGAATTTTGTTTTTTTTCCTAGGGGCGAAATAAACCACCTTTTGCGCGGCGCGCTTCGAGGGGTAGTCGACTTTGGGCGCCCAAAAGTTTCTTACAGCGCGAATCGCGGTCTCTCTTTCTCGTGTCACTAATAGAAGGTCGAGCTATGTGAAGTACCCAAAAGTTGAATACGATTTTATGCCGGGATTTTAGCGAAATCTACCAAAATGTGAATTACGAATGAACGGGACGTCGGAACTGTGTATCGACAAAGGGAATGTGGTAACCCCCGACGAGATCTTACTGATGGTGGAGTCGAAACTTCAAATCCGAATTGTTGCGGGTGATCAGAAGTGGGTGTGGACAAAGAGAATATGGTAATCCCCAAAGGATTTTACTGATGGTGGAGTCAAAACTTCAAACGCGAATTGCAAGTGCACGGTAAGTGAGAAAATGGTACCGACAAAGTGAACGTGGTAGCTTTTGGCAAGATCTTATTGATGGTGGCGTCAATATTGGCTAATAAAACACTGATCTGCCACACAAAAATGCGCTGAAGTCCCTTCGATCTCACACGAGGACTTTGATCATTTTTTATAGACAGTGAACCAAGTGCTTCTTCGATTTTTAGTAGAGGGGAGCCTATATCTTTGTTGTTATCAATTTCAAAAAAATATATAAAGGAGAAAGATGTAGGTAATTTAATACCATTTTTTTTTGTATGCGTGATAACCCAAAAAACGACACATTCCATAACACAAAAAATGTTTTGGCTTTAAACGTAATTGATTATGTTACTCTCCATCTCCGCTATAGTTTCCGGGATGTTATATCACGTACAGAGATTTAATTTACATCTACTTACAAGGAAATTCTGATCTACTGGACAACAAAAGCCCGCCCTTAAAATTAAACAAAATTAATTAGAGGTGTCAATTTCTCGTGAAATTCAGTTTTCTCCAGTTGTTTGTTCGAGATTGTTGCCAATTAACTTTCTGGTCAAAGGCATGAAGACAAAAAGATACAGGCGTTAATTAATCACCCATAAAGAAGGTTTCAATTTCCGATGGTAACTGATCACTATTGCATGAAGATCACCACTCACGGGCGTAGGGAATAAGGAGAATTAACAATCTCTGTCTTAATTGGATATATTTAATTATTAAACAGTATACAAAATATTACTTGTAATTGGACACCATATTTAAATTAACGTGTAAACAATCATTGGTAGTGCGGGGGATGTTCCTTGAATTCTCCGTTGGCTCTCTGAATTGGTTTGAAAGAAGCTTTGCTGTTTGATCTCCAAGTTCGATCCAATTATTTTAAGAAAGTCGTTAGTCTCGTTACTCCAACTACCCCAAGTCTACGCAGGTTACATCCCATATTAGTCTTAAGCCTTTCGACTGAGGGGGTTTACCGCCATTTCTAGAGACCCCGAACGACTCGAGTATGGACGCGATTTTAATGAATTTCTGAATAATGGTGTTTAGGTCGCTGTGTCGTGAAAATCTGCCTTTAACTATTATAACTGTCCTTTGAAGGGAGAAGTTTAGACATAAGTCCCAGTGCAGCGTTTACAAAAAACGGGAAGAACTATATCGGCGATTCTACGTAATCCTGTTCTTCCGAATGTTATATGGTAATGTTGCTTGACGCCATTGTGCTTCGTTCAGTGGGAGATTGAATATCAATTACATCTACCAAATAGGGAAACCTCCAAGCAGCGCCAGTTCTGAGAAAGTACGTAAATTTTCGTGCAATAAACAGTTCTTTAAAAAGAAATATGCGACATGGGAATTCATATCTTGTAGTTGTTTCGGCAAAATTTTCACTTGGTGATGTTTCTTTTCGAAGGTTTTTTTAAGACCCTCTTCAAAAATTGGAAAACGAGTAGTTCAAAAATAATCTGTTCAGATTAAAGCTGGTAGTTTCGCCAAATTGAAACTGTGGAGAGCACACGTGTGATTAAATCATAATTCCTTTATTTTCGGAAATCGCGTAGTAGCAACCCACAAATTAATTACAAAGTTAATTAAACACAATGTTCAATTACCCAGTAACATTACATCCATACTGTCAAGGCCATATACGACATATTAATACAATATTTAATAAACACTAAAATTACAATTTGATTAACTGTCGCTCTTTGTGATGTATTTTCCTCTCCTTAAATCGTGGTCAACCATTATTAGTAAAGAAAGATTTCAGGAACGAGCAACACCGTTAGTCTACAGGGTGGTGCCTAGCGCAACGCAGCATAGGGATTTCAATGGTAATTTCTTTATAGTCAATTACTAGCTCCCCTAATTATTTTAGAGCAAAAGTCTAAATAAGTTTTTTTTAGAGAAAAAAACACTGCATCTGTTCATACTTTTAGTTATGATAGAAATATGAAAGTGTCCAGTGTCGGATTAAGAATCCATGGAACTGGGTACTCCCTTCTGTCACTAGGTCACTGTTAAAAAATATTAATAATGCCTCACCCCACCCCAAATTCATAAGCTTTCACTCGACCACATGACATACTATCAATAACTAGGTATAAGGGGAGTTTTTTATGTTTTATACTTAGCTATGAAAAGAAGAACGTTGAGACTTAAGGAGAGGATAGTTAAAACTTTATTTTCCTACAAAAACCCTTGAACAGTAACACACTTATTCCAACTTTTTTCTAATAACACATTTTCTAGGTTGTAATAAAAAGTGACGTTCTTAAGTGTTTTTTGAGTTTTGGAAAATATAAAATTTGTCAATAAGAGATATAATCCCCCCCGCAATATAAAAGCATGTATAATATCGTTTCAGCAATTCAATACCCCTATCAAATATCCTCTCGGTTTGTCCCAAACTACAGCTTTCACCTGCAAACCCTGAACTTTACGTCTCCTTTTCTTCTACAGCCCATGGGCTTCCTTTTGGACAGTCGATCATAGTACGGCACCGCGCTGAATGGATCTTGCACCAATTTCATCCATCCCCAAATGGTCGTGGATGATTCGACGAACGATTGTGTCACAAAACCTTTAAACGACGATCGTTTAACACGAGGTCCTCAACAAGGGTGATATCTTCGTTTGTGATCGCATCCATCGTCCTTCTTGTTCTGCTGTCAGCTTCCAAGCATTCCCGCCCCATTCAAAATTGTTTTGCCCAATCTTTTACCACAAAGCAAGACGGCGAATTTTTCCCATACACCACATCCAAACGATCTTTAATATCATGAGGAGAAATACCTTCTCAATTAAACCCTGCGGTAGTCGCAACTTTTTATTAATCTCCAATCGGTCTCAGAAACCAACTACTTTATTTTAACTAAAAATTTCGTTAATTTTCGTAAATCTGTTTATTGTTTTTATTTAGTATACCATACGACAACATATTAGGCAGAGCTGGGTAATTATTTCAGATAATAGGTATTTAAAATACAAAATACTATTTGCGACTAACGAAGGGTTAAAGAATTTGATCACATTTTTATGATTTCTGACATGGTGTTAAACGAGTGAGAAAAATAATTGACCTAAAGTCGTGTGTTGTTTTTCGAAGTCGGGTTGTGAAAATTTTGACTGGCTGCGATCTCTAGATCTGTTTTCAGGCCGGGAATTTTTTGCGCTACCCTCATATTTAGGCACAACAGTAGAAAGAAGTACGAAAAAAGACTACATTTAAGTGATGATCTTGAACGCGATACAGTAATTTAATAATAAGTGTGCTTGGTATTACGAGTAAACGCTGTGTTTTTTGGTTTACAGGAAGAATGTGCCGAACTGCTAGAATTAGTAAGTGAACGGATCAATTCGCACAATCCCGATTTTAGTTCACACCTACTACTTTCAATATTTAAGATGGCAGAAGTAGAAATAATACAAATAGAAACAAATTCGGCGTCGGACTCGATTCGTTCGAAATTGTATTTAATATTAATATCGCAGATATCGTTAATTGTTTTAGAAAGGCTGGCTGTTAGGCTTTCGTGACATTGACAGTAATGCTATATACTTTTTAAATAAAAAATACGAAACATATCTTTTTACAATGAATTTAGCGAATGTAAATTTAAATAACGTGTGTCGATTGTTATGTTTGTACATTTTCATTTGAATTGTAAATACGCGGTGTAGTATTAGCCAGATTGCACACATTCAATTCAAATTTATTGAAAATATTTGAAATAATTTTATTTTTATGTGTATATCTATCATTACTGTACGTTAAAGCTCTCACTAGACACTACGCACGCTGTTGTGTTTATACGTACCTTCATGTACAACATTGCTTTATAATTCTTAAAATGGTGTAATGTTTTTGTAATTCTAACAATGGCCAATACTGCTTATTATTGTGTTTCATCATTGAATGTAACTTTATGTTTACCAATAGCAAATTGTAATTAATGTGTAGGTACGTACAAAGAGATATACCATCATATCTAGTGTCGACTGGTAATGTTAGGGTCCTTTAGTAATCGATTGCTCATATCACGACTCACCTAAAAAATTAAATTACCGTTACATATTCCAATGTAGTGATATCTTTTTCAATTTGTAACAAAGAAAAGTATCTTGTACAATCTTAAAATGTCTTCCCATGTGAGTTTAAGGCATCGTAACTCCAATGCCAGACATCTAACAGTAGGTTGTCATTTTTAATTGCTTTCACAAATACAATGTCTTGGCTTACATGCTAAAAATGCATATCATGATAGCTTTAATATTTAATTCAGATGACCGAATGCCAGAAATCAATATGTTGATCTTTAATTTAATTCAAGGACTGAATTTAAAACATATCGTTTATAGTAAGTAAATAATTAGTAATCACTATTATAGGTAAAATCATACTAAACCCGGTGATTAACATTGGGTGATCATCACTTGTATGAAGCACACGTAGACACAGTTTTAGATATCACGTTGTTACATATACACATTTTATGCTTAAACTTAATTATTGTTATCCTGAGGGTCTCAGTATTTGTTATAAGACTTTTAGGTACTTAATAGAAATATTAAAGTTCACAAGCACGTTTGAATCCATTTTTGAATGTGATAATGCAAACCTTAGCTAGGACAGCAAATTTCGCATATTAATGCATATGCATAATATACAGGGTGTAAAGTTATTATACCACTATAAATGTATCTAATTTACCATTTGTCAAATAGTGTGTTACATTTGCAAATGTGTTCAAAGGCGTTATCGAGATTGAATTTAATGTTTTGTAAGTATGACTATAGAATTAATCATTGTATTGTATCTATTATAAATCTCGTATATGTCGACCAACACAAACCATTACATGTATAGATATCTCGTGTGAATGTAGCAATAATCGTAAAAATGTAGAAACCCGTCCATTTCCTTTTCGTTTTTGTTTTAAACTATTAAATATGTGTCGAATGAAGAATAGATTCGTCGTGCTTGTGTATCTTAAAAGGTAGATTATAATAGAACCAATGTCTAAATGCAATGTGTATTATATATTTTAGGGATAAATATTTATTTAATATTGTTATACATATAAAAGTAAATATAAGGGTGAGTGAAGCTTTTTAATTACTGCTTGTTCAAATTTCACTGGACATTTACACCATTCGTAGCGCATTTTTTAACTTTCATTTCGACAAAGTCTAGACTACCTAAATGCCTTTTTATCATAATCGTGCTGTGTGAATCCATTAAAATTAGTAAACGGTGATGTCTTGCCTGTATCGGTTTTGTGCTATCCACATAGGTTTACAGCTTGCTATTATGTTAACAAGTGGTTTATATACGAAAGTGCGAGTAGTTGCCTTATATGTTGTCTAATGTAACAAAGGAAATATGTTTTATAATTTGTTGTATAAGTGGTATGTATAATAAATTAGGGTTAAATCACGTACCATTGTTAAAGATTGTTATACAATGATTTTAAATGCCCGCATTGTTTCATTAAAATTTAGATGTAACTAAGTTTCATGTGAGAAATACCTAATTTCTAAGCATAGATAATGTGAAAAATAAATTGTCTGTATAAGACCTGTTGTCACTCAGAGTTTTACAATTATCCACATGAAAGACCTTATTTTACCCTTTCGTACTTTTATAACATAAGTATTTTATATCCTGACCTACATTTTGGTTATTTAAGATATGCTTTTGTTTTTTGAAAAAAATCCACAGTTCACTAGATATGAGCGAAAAACAGATTTAGGGATTTTTCATTTAACTGTTGTAGAATCGTCATTATTAGAAATACAACAAAATGACACGAATAAAAGTTTTAGACATTTTAATGCACATACTAATTTATTTTTAGATCTTACAATTTTTGAGTTATAATACAAACTTTAATTTTTTTTAATGGTAGTCATAGTTGGCTTTCACATTTTTAAAAAGGATAATTTTTTCTCTTTATAACGATATAAGGCTTGCTAAATGTACTTTAACAAATAAACGCCCTGTAGTAATTTTCGTATTATTGAGAGGTAAGTAAACAGAGTTGGCCATGGAAAACAATATGTAGTGAGACAGGTACCTTTCATTTACGACAAAAATTGAACAGGCCAATGTTATCTTCATTTTCAAGTTAAATATTATAATAGACAGTAATTAAGAGAACAAAAATGTTTCCCATGGCAAAATCTGTTTTTACTACTCTTAATAATACAAACAGTTCTGTATCATGTTTATTTGTCAAAGTAAGTACAATGAACCTTATATCATTGTAAACAGAAAAAATGCACTACTTAAAAATGTCACAGCCAACTATGATTACCATTTAAAAAAATGTAAGTTTGCGTTATAACTCGAAAATTATAAAAGAAGAATAAATATTAATAAATGCCTATCTCATTAAGCTGAAAAAAATCTACAATTTTTGTTCTTTGCATATTTCTGTATTTCTAATACTAACGATTCTACAACAGTTAATAAATGAAACATCACTACATCTGTTTGTCGCTCATATCTAGTAAACTGTGGATTTTAAAAAAAACAAAAGCATATCTTGAATAACCTCATTTAACCGAATCTCTATGTCTTATCGTTAAAGTTAAGGGTATAAACATGTTACAGAAAAAATTAGCACTCTTCAATTACTTTCCAATTCTTCAAAAATACCATTAAGTTTAATACCCCAATGTAATACAGTAGGCCACTGATGACCAGAAATATTTTAGAAACATTGGTAATTGTGTACAATTTTTATGGTAAAGGAATAATGATCCGAGGGGGTTTTAGATGCTATACCATGTATCAAGGACTACTTAAACAAGCAAAAACATGCATTGAATTTGGTGAATTTATTGTAATTACGTAGAGTATAAAACGTAAATCCATGCAAATTACGATTTAACATTACCTGCCCGATAATGGTGAGTAATATTCGCTATTAACGTAAGGTAAATTATCAGAAACGCCTACACAGATTTTTGCCTTTATCTTTTGATCTATGTAAATAAGTAAAGGAAGAGATAATATAATGCGTCTCGTGTGTCAAATACAAAATCCTCCTATCTCTTCTTCTACGGAACCATTTTTATTCAATGACGGAACTAAACTTTTCCATTTTCGGTGTCTGATGGTTTAGTATTATTTAAAAAATTATGGATCTACAAGTAATCTAGAGTTTAGCAGTAAGAGTATTTTTTTGTGATATGTCAGATAATCTTTTTCTCCGTTTGTATACAATTTTTCGGGACAGACTGTAGCTCGGACTGTATGGACAAATGAATAGTCAATATAGTTAATTGGCGTAATAAAGTCAATAGTCAATGTCACCTTTCCGAGCTTTTTGAATATCTTGTCCAAAAAAATTGGAAATTTGGAAATCTTGTCGCGCCACCGATAAGATGTCCAAATCATAGTTTCCAAATTGGTTGGATCTTTTGTCGCTTTATTTGGATTTTGCGATAAAAATTGGGAAACGACAAAAAAATCCAAAACATTTGGAAAATTTGTCCCTAAAAAGTTGGAATTTGGATTTCTTGTCGGTCCCCTTTTATTTGATGTGTCCCAGGAAGAGATATGGCACTATATAAGATTTTAAAGACGGGCGTGGTGAAGATAAATAAGTGTGGAGAAAAAAACAAATTAAAATCACTATAAAACATGTCCCACTCGGTGGTTATATGTTTTTTAGGAGCGAATTGTTTCAGGTGCGTCACCATCTATAATAATTATAAGGATTATGTAGGCATGTAGTTAAGTAACATGTACCTGTTTCTCTTTATCTATATCGCACTTACAATTTTATTTATTCCTCAATGTGAATCATTTGCGAATGAATCGCCAATAATAGCGGTTGTGTGTGCTCCGGGCGTATGACGTTAAAACATCCAACGTGCAAGTGAAAAAATGGAAATATGCTCCTACATGTAAAACAATAATTTTGAAAGGGAGTGATGGACGGATGGGGTTCGTCCAACACCACTTTGGAGAGGCAGGCGTTGCTGTTCGAGATGCACTGCACGGGAAAAGAGTGAGTTTTAATTTTGTGGCAATAATTAATGGAATGGCAAAGATTAGGTGGTGCATCAAGGAGTTTTCGCCCAGGTTTACTTTTTGGGTGGTTCATTGCTCAAACTATATCTTAAAATGCACTTCTTTAATACCGCCCAATCCATAACTTTTAATAGGTATCGTGTAGGCCATGTCTAAAAGCACTCGTGTGTGAGTTTTTAGCATCTCACTTCTTGGACGCCGCTACTAGAGTAGCTTAGATGAATGCGTTTTGTGGATGAAACTCTCCGGAAAAGATGGAGTCTGTGATATGTCCGTATGGACCTGCAAGATCATCTCCATTATTTCTTGTGAGTACCTTAAAAATTACAATATTGGCAACCTATCCTCATTCTTGCGATAACGGTGTGCGCGTGCCTATATAGGAAACATTTTCATCCGGTTTCTTCCCCTTTATAGAAGCATAGTATCGCTGTACTCTCCTTTCAATGGTGCTAAGGATGAAAACCACATCCACACACCCTTGAAAGCCTAAAGCGTGTCCAGACGTATTTTGGTATAAGTACATGTCGAAGTGTGTAAAACCAGACATTGCCAAAGAGGAGAGATCTATTGCATTGAAATCAGAGCTAGAAGTGGATCGAGCTCTTTCAAACAGTAATTGCTTGCGAACTATTTTAAAGCTATGAAAACCTGATGACTCGGAAGCTTCTTTAGTTTTCCATTAAAAAAAGAACTTCGGTTCCAGAGCTTTTTTAATAATTGCAGTATCCTTTATACCAACAATGTGCACTATTATTTTCTACTCTTTATAAAAACCATAAAAAAAATTCCTTGCAATACCATGTAGAAGAGCGCGTGATTACTAAAAGGAGTTAATAATTGAAAAATGCTCGCGATAACAGGTTGCAGGAGTAAGCTTTGAGTTCTTTTCCAAAGTAATTGCACCACAATGACTGGTACCTAGCTACTATTTATTGTACAAGTGCTCGGAATGTAAGAGTGGTAAGTGCTGACTTTTACCTTTACGACTCAGGTAGTCAACTGTTTAATCACAAATGGAATTAAATGCTTCAATTATATTGTAATTGTGAATGGAATTCGCTAATACAGTAAATTGGGCTTATTTATTCCATTTTCATATGATCTCTAAGGTGCAATATCAGAAAGACATTTTTGAAAATGTGGATTATAGTTTTACCTTTGGTACCACACTCGACCACATTAATCAAACTATAGTTGCTCATTGAACAATTTCTCAATTGAAGCAAATTTTATTAAAAACACACTACAAATATTAAGCAAATATGCATCAAACTTGGAATCCATTTTTAAACCATTTGTGAAAATACAACTCATTACTAACAGTTAAAAAGTTAAAGACTTAAGTATAATAGGTAGGTATGGTTCAATGAAAATGAAAATGAAATGAAATGATGTTCAATAGAACCTCAATTCTTGCTAGTAGGGCTTATTGGAAGGATAGGCAAACTGGGCTACTTGGAAATACAAGGTTTCTATAATGCTACCTGGTGCAGAAGGTGCCATGGGGGTAGTCGAACGTAAGGTGCAGAAACCGATTGAAGATCGTCAGTGACTATACTTTGCAATTAGCCAAGTACAAGAAGTCTGAAAGTAGCGCTCTGCTCATTATCACAATGAACATGACAGAAAGATGAGACATTAAAAAAGGTAATGATTTGAGACAGCGTATGAAGTCTTTGGCAGGAATGGCATAAATTATTCGATGGGCAGTCTGAAGACTGGGCATATAATTGTGTATGGTGTTTGTCGGATTTAAACATGATAAGGAAGATATGACGTTTCGAAACTCATATCGAAACTAATTAAGAACGTCTGGAATAATTTAAATGCTTAAATCGCCAAAGACGATGCTAACAAAACTACCTGAGCTGTTCCTAATCTGCAAAATCCTAGACGACTTAGCGTTCAAATCAAGTTGGAGGCTGATGAATCAGAAAAACAGAACCAAAAAAAATCTAACAAGTCATCTTTGTGCATATGAGGGGGAATTTAGAGATAGAGATGCTGAGACACTTGCCAAGAGGTCTAGTCACAAACGAAGATGACAAACAAGAGGAAGTGAATCCAATTGTAAATCAGCGTGAATGTACCTCAGAGAACAGTGTTTCTCCTGATCAAGCTCTAGAGGGAGAAAGATCAACATTCAACAAGCCCAAGTGTTGTTATTCAGCCAGTTCCTGATGAACATCCTAGACCTGTTGAAACTGAAGATCATATGATCATTGAACATAAAGTGGATTTACCTGTTGTCAAAGTGCTTGAGCAATAAGTCGACATTCACGAGGATGAGCATGATGAGACGCGAGGTACAGGCTCAGAAGCAGGAGAAGCGATTACGCCGGCCCAAGAAGTATATAACGAGTAAGCTCAGATTCCTTCCCAAATAGGTACGTCCAAGGAAGCAAGGGAGAGCGCGGATCACAAAAATTGGCAAGGTGCCAATGAATAGTGAATTAAAATCCGTTAAAGAAATAACGATCACGTGTGAACGTTGTGCGAACCACCTAATTGCAAAGAGATATCCTGATGGGTCAATTAATGAAAAAGTATAAAGCAGGGCTCGTAGTAAAAGGATTCAGGCAACGAAAAGGAATTGATTACAAACAAAAGTTACACTTGGAACAGTTCGACATTTCCTCAGCGTTCCTGAATGAAAAGGTAACAGAATATGCAGCAGCCAGATGACTTCAGCGATGGATCTTGGAGTCTGTCGATTAAACAGAAGCTTGCGTTTGGTTTGAATTTGAAACAAGCGCATCAAGGTGTCGGAACTCCTGCTTTGAAGAGATTCTTCCTGAAATTGATTTTAAGCAGAGACGCTGTTTGCTGCGCCTGTTTATAAAGACTCCTGAGAAAAAGGAGATATACTCATTATACATATGTACCTACCTGTAGATGATGGTCTTATAGCAGCAAGTGATGAGAAACACACAAATGAGTTTTTATTTGATCCGAGACAGAAATGGAAAATTACTGAAAGATCGGTATCATTCTTCTTAAGTTTAGAGATAGAGCAAGTGGGCGGCGGATCCATTACAAGTAAGAATCCTATACGAAGAAGATTCTGAAGAGCTTTCGCATGATGGATTGCAATTCAGTGGTAGCACCTGTACAGAATGGAAGTACTTATCGAATCAGGGAAAGTAGATGATTATGCATAAATGTAGGTCCTTTAGCCTATCTCATGGTCGAAACACGTCTCAACATAACATATGCTGTAGGGCTAGTATCCAGAAAGTTGCAGAATACAACTAAAAGTGATTGGCAGAATGTGAAAAGGATATTCAGATTTCTAAAAGGAACTTTAGCTCTAGGTATCAAGTGCCATAGTGTTAGTAACAACAATGGAGTCATCGAAGGGTACAGTGATGCACGCTGATCATTAAAGACAGGACGCTCTGCTACTAACGTAATATGCTGGAGGTTAACAGCAAAGTTGGCTTCAAAGAAAATTCAGCAATATGTCAGAACTGAAGGGCGTGCTGACAGTGAAAGTTGATAATGAAGCTGCCATTCGACTTGCCCATAATCCCGACTTTCACAAAAGGACAAAACACATCAAGGTTAGCGTTAAGACACTTCTTTGTGTAAGAAATGGTTCAAGGAGAAAACCAGTTCTGCTAACCAATTAACTGGCATAGTGACAAAGGCAATTCCCATAGGCCAAGGATCGTGGAAATATGCACCGAGCTGGGATTGTGAGAAACAAGTACACTGTCATCAATTAGTATTAAAGCTCGTTACATTTATGATGGTTTAATAAATGTAAGTTACATGGTTTTATGACTTAAAACAAATTAATTATGAAATAATGTTTTGACTACAGTCATTAGAAAATAAAACGTCCTTTAAAAGAGATAGACATTACTCAGTTAATTCTATACATTTTGTAATTACACTGTTGCACTACAAGTGAAGTCAACATTACACAGGTCTCCGTTAAATTTTGAACTCTTGGAATAATAACATGAAATTTATATCTAAGGAAATAAATACATCCCTACAAAAGCGTAAGCGAATTCATGCATGCATAACTTATACTACGGATAAACAAACAGAAATCGTTTAACAAATTTATACTACAATATTGACTAATGTTCGTTTGCTTCTTGTGATGACTGGGATATTCTGATTTCTGAATATCTGCTACGGACTTGTAAGAAATTTTAAACAGTTTCTTATCTCTCTGGGCGGAATGTGCTCGCTTTTCTAAAACTACCCGAAAGAATCTTCCGTTAGTATTGGTCACAAGTTTCTTGGAGAACTTCTCATATTGGATTCAGTTTACCATCCATTGCATTTCGAAAGTAACCCTAATAAGTGTCAGTCAGTAAGTGCAAAAGAAATTATAATTTATATTTTAATAACGTACCAAGACTTTTGATCTGGTAATGTAAAGTGAGTCTTAATTATGCTAACGCCTATATCAGCACTGCATAACTCTTTCAACAGTAATGTCCAGACCTAGCTTTACATTTCAAACCCCCTTTTCTCCTTTGCATGCTTTCCCAACCCTCAAGAATCATAGGGTCTTCGGATCGGTGGAAACAGAGCGATAAGTTCCATTTTACCCAAAAGCCAGACCGAACTTGCGCCTATTCCATGAATGAAACATTTAATTGAAATTCCATTATTTTATTTTGAACTTGTAAGAAGAATTACAAAAAAACGTTCATTTTAATAATGAAAAGAGTAAATAACTATTTGAAGTTAATTTTACCACAAAATATATAGGAAACGATATTATCGGCATTATAATAAACGACTGAATAATGAAAATAAATCCTTCCTCTGTTCATGTTCTCCTGGTCGTCCGTCTTCAGATTTTATGTTCTGTATATACAAAATGGCAAAAAACATGGCCGGCTTTTCAGTCATCGAGTATGACGAGTTGCCTATACACCAGGCGGTATAATCCTAACTCTCCTAATATAGCATTTATTGGAATTTTGAGACCATTAACCGTATGGACTGAATTGGAATGATGTAAATATGTATTAGAGAGGTTTTATGAAAGGCAAATATGAAATGAATAGTCATTATTTCCGCGCGTAAACAAATCAATTGTTGGGAACGTGAAACCATTGTAATTGAATAAACAATGATGAAACGTTAATGCACCAACCAATTATAAATGCTGACGTTTATGTTTTTTAAATCTTTGATCTTGTGCTGCCTAAATGCAGTAACAAAGAGCAAAATTTTAACACATATTTCTTTCGACATCTAACGTTATTTCCTTGAACTGAATTGTACTTGTTACCATTAAATCCAGGGCACTGAATTATTGCCATCATAATGTTACATCGTATTCGCATAGATATCGCTACTGTTTAACAGAAAACTGCAGCTAACCTAATAGTCAGAATATAATCGATTCAGCAAACTAACATTAGATGTCAGAAGGATATGTTCTTTTGAATTTTAGGAACTACAATAAAAAAACAGAGGGAAAGTAGATAATTTTGATACTTTTCGGCAGTACGTACAAGTAACAAATTTACAAAACACATAAACTTCAGCGTTTATAATTGCGCTTGCTATGTACTTCATTAAGTTATATGTTTCTAGCACTCGGTGTGTGTTTTCGACCAGATGATCGACTTCATCATGATAGGCCCTATAGGAATGATCCGTCGTTACGAACAATCTGAAAGGATATCGTGGCGGTAGATTGCTCAAAACTTACCACTCTCACAGGAAAGGATTGATTGTTACGATCGATCATTAAACTGTTTGAAACGGAACAATAACGTGCTCAAATAATTCAATACCTCAGACTGAGACCATCACCGAATCGTTGATCGTAAAGAGCCATCCACTTTGATTAAGTATATCGTTACCGATCTTCACATACACTATCAATTTGCTGTTTTTGACGCCTCTTTACGCATTTCTTAACAGACTTGCTACCCATTTACTAGGAATTGGGCCCATTTTTAAAACTTTTTTGGAAATGGAACTCATTACGAACATTGAAGACTTAATTACATACTTTTATTTGCCAAATTCGAACCTCTTGGAATAATATGAAATTTACATCTAAGGAAAATACATCTCTAAAAAAGCATAAGCGAATTTGTGCATGCATAACCTTATACTACGGATAAACAAAATTGAAACTACAACATCGAATAATATTCGTTTGCTTCTTGTGATGAATGGAATGTCCAGATCAATGAATATCTGCTACGGATTTGTAAGCAACTTTTAAGTTTCTTGTCTCCCTTGGCAGAATGTGTCCGCTTTTGTAAAGCTACCTGCAACGATCTTCCGTTAGTACTTGTCTCAAGTTTCTTGTGGAACTTCTGGTATGGATTCAGTTGACCATTAATTACATTTCGAAAGTTACCCTAATAAGTGTCAGTAAGTGCAAAAGAAATTATAATTTATATTTTAATTACGTACCAAGGCTTTCGGTCTGGTAATGTAAAGCGAGTCTTAATTATGCTAACGTCTATATGAGCACTGCATAACCCTTTCAACAGCAATGTCCAGACCTAGCTTTACATTTCAAACCCCCTTTTCTCCTTTGCATGCTTTCCCATCCATCAAGAACCACAGGGCCTTCGGATCGGTCGAACCAGAGCGATAAGTTCCATTTTACCCAAAAGCCAGACCGAACTTGCGACGATTCCATGAATTAAACTATCAATTGAAATTCCATTTTCTTATTTTGAACTTGTAAGAGCAAGAAGAATTACAAAAAAACGTTCATTTTAATAATGAAAAAAGTAAATAACTATTTGAGGTTAATTTGACCACAAACTATAGGAAAAGATTTTATCGACATTATTAAAAACCTATAATAATGAAAACTGATCCTTCCTATGTTCATGTTCTCCTGGTCGTCCGTCTTCAGATTTTATGTTCTGTATATACAAAATGGCAAAAAAACATGGCCGGTTTATCGGTCATCGAGTATGACGAGTTGCCTATACACCAGGGGGCATAATCCTAACTCTCCTAATATAGCATTTTTAAAGTATATATTGGAATTTTGAGACCATTAACCGTATGGACTGAATTGGAATGATGTAAATAAGTACTAGAGAGGTTTTATGAAAGGCAAATATAAAATCCGCGCGTAAACAAATCAATTGTTGGGAACGTGAAACCATTGTAATTGAATAAACAATGATGAAACGTTAATGCACCAACCAATTATAAGTGCTGACGTTTATGTGTTTTGTAAATCTTTGATCTTGTGCTGCCTAAATGTAGTAACAAAGAGCAAAATTTTAACACATATTTCTTTCGACATCTAACGTTATTTCCTTGAACTGAATTGTACTTGTTACCATTAAATGCAGGGCACTGAATTATTGCCATCATAATGTTACATCGTATTCGCATAGATGTCGCTACTGTATGACAGAAAACTGCAGCTAACCTAATAGTCAGAATATAATCGATTCAGCAAACTAACATTAGATGTCAGAAGGATATTTTTTTTAAATTTTAGGAACTACCATAAAAAAACAGAGGGAATGCAGATAATTTTGATACTTTTCGGCAGTACGTACAAGTAACAAATTTACAAAACACATAAACTTCAGCGTTTATAATTGGTTGCTATGTACTTCATTAAGTTATATGTTTCTAACACTCGGTATGTGTTTTCGACCAGATGATCGACTTCATCATGATAGGCCCCATAGGAATGATCCGTCGTTACGATCAATCTGAAAGGATATCGTGACGGTAGATTGCTCAAAACTTACCACTCTCACACGAAAGGATTGATTGTTACGATTGATCATTAAAATGTTTGAAACGGAACGATAACGTGCTCAAATAATTCAATACCTCAGACTGAGACCATCACCGAATCGTGATCGTAAAGAGCCATCCACTTTGATTAAGTATATCGTTACCAATCTTCACATACACTATCGATTTGTTGTTTTTGACGCCTCTTTACGCATTTCTTAACAGACTTGGTACCCATTTACTAAGAATTGGGCCCATTTTTAAAACTTTTTTGGAAATGGAACTCATTACGAACATTGAAGACTTAATTACATACACTTTTAATTGCCACATTCGAACCTCTTGGAATATGAAATTTACATCTAAGGAAAATACATCTCTAAAAAAGCATAAGCGATTTGTGCATGCATAAACTTATACTACGGATAAACAAAATTGAAACTACAACATCGAATAATATTCGTTTGCTTCTTGTGATGAATGGAATGTCCAGATCAATGAATATCTGCTACGGATTTGTAAGCAACTTTTACGTTTCTTGTCTCCCTTGGCAGAATGTGTCCGCTTTTATAAAGCTACCTGCAACGATCTTCCGTTAGTACTTGTTTCAAGTTTCTTGTGGAACTTCTGGTATTGGAATCAGTTTACCATCAATTGCATTTCGAAAGTGACCCTAATAAGTGTCAGTAAGTGCAAAAGAAATTATAATTTATATTTTAATTACGTACCAAGGTATTCGACCTGATATAAAGTGAGTCTTAATTACGCTAACGTCTATATGAGCACTGCATAACCCTTTCACCAGCAATGTCCAGACCTAGCTTTACATTTCAAACCCCCTTTTCTCCTTTGCATGCTATCCCATCCATAAAGGACAACAGAGTCTTCCGATCGGCTGAACCAGAGGGATAAGTTCCATTTTACCTAAAAGCCAGACCGAACTTGCGACGATTCCATGAATGAAACTTTGAATTGAAATTCCATTTTCTTATTTTGAACTTGAAAGAGCAAGAAGAATTACAAAAAAAACGTTCATTTTAATAATGAAAAAAGTAAATAACTATTTGAGGCTAATCTTACCACAAAATATAGGAAACGATATTAGCGGCATTATATTAATAATCTAAAGAATGAAAACAATTCCTTCCTCAATCCTCAGTTCATGTTCTTCTGGTCGTCCGTCTTCAGATTTTATTTTCTGTAGGTATTATATACAAAATGGCAAACAAACATGGCGGGTTTTTCGGTCATCGAGTATGATGAGTTGCCTATACATCAGGAGGCATAATCCTAACGCTCCTAATATAGCATTTTTAAAGTATGTATTGGAATTTTGAGACCATTAACCGTATGCACGGAATTGGAATGATGTAAATAAGTACTAGAGAGGTTTTATGAAAGGCAAATATGAACTTAATAGTCATTATTTCCGCGCGTAAACAAATCAATTGTTGGGAACGTGAAAACATTGTAATTGAATAAACAATGATGAAACGTTAATGCACCAAGCAATTATAAATGCTGACGTTTATGGGTTTTGTAAATTTATGATCTTGTATTGCCTAAATGCAGTAACAAAAATCAAAATTTCAACAAACTTTTCTTTCGACATCTAACGTTATTTCCTTCAACTGAATTGTACTTGTTACCATTAAATGTAGGGCACTAAATTATTACCATCATAATGTGACATTGTGTTCGTATAGATGTCGCTATTGTATAACAGAAAACTGCAGCTAACCTAATAGTCAGAATATAATCGATTCAGCAAACTAACATTAGATGTCAGAAGGATATGTTCTTTTAAATTTTAGGAACTACCATAAAAAAACAGAGGGAATGTAGATAATTTTGATACATTTCGGCAGTATGTACAAGTAACAAATTTACAAAACAAATAAACTTCAGCGTTTATTGGTTGCTGTGTACTTCAGTAACTTTCTACTTTCATGTCTCCAGCACTCGATATGTGTTTACGACTGGATGATAAACTTCTTCATGATAGGCTCCATATAGGCAATGATCCATCGTTACGATCAATGTGAAAGGACATCGCGACGGTAGGATTGCTCAAAACTTACCACTCATACGAAAGGAATGATCGTACAGAGCCATCCACTGTCGATTCATCAATATCCTATTTGATCAAGTAAATCGTTATCGATCTACACATACACTACCATTTGTCGTTTCAATTGAACAGAAATAATGGTTTTGACAGATCAAGTGTACCACATAAAGATTGCCGCACAATTGTCCGTTCCATTCCGTCCCGTTAAAAAACGTTCAACATGAAAGACATTGAATTAAACATCTCTGCACACATTATCCCGTTCCGTCAAGACTCATAAGTGTGCGTTAGCGCCAACCATCGCCGGAACGGGCAAATATGCGGCAACCTTAAAGGCCTCTTTATGCATTCTTTTCAGTGCAGAATTTCTTAACAAACTTGGTAACCATTTACTAAGAATTCAGGCCATTTTTAAACATTTTTTGGAAATAGAACTCATAACGAACATTGAAGACTTAATTATCTGTTTATTTGCCAAATTCGAACCTCTTGGAAACATGAAATTTATATCTAAGGACATAAATACATCTCCAAAAAGCATGCATAACTTATACTGCGGATAAACAAACACAAATCGTTTAACAAATTGATACTACAAAATCTACTAATGTACATTTGCTTCTTGTGATAAGGATGTCCTTCTAATTACTGAATATCCGCCACGGATTTGTAAAGAAGTTTAAAACCCTTGTCTCTTGTGGCAGAATGGGTCTGCTTTTCAAAAACAGTCCGAAAGAATCTTCTGTTAGTATTTGTCTCAAGTTTCTTGTACAACTTCTCGTCTTGGAATGACTTTATCTTCAATTGCAATACGAAATGTGACCCTAAAGAAATTATAATTTGTAGTTTCATTACGTACCGAGGAGCAAGAAGAATTACAAAAAAAACGTTCACTTTAATATGATCTAAGACTTTAATGATGGACAAGTAAACAACAGTTTCAACCTTTGAGGTTTACTACTCAGCAGTCAGGAAACGACATTATCGGCATTTTCATAGAAACTGGTAACAATTACAATTATCCTTCTTTGTTTATGTTCTCCTGGTCCTTAGCCTTTAGATTTCGTGTTCTATACATACAAAATGGCAAAAAACATGGCCGCTTTTCAGTCATGGGGTTAGACGAGTTGCCTACACACGAGGGTGTACTTGTCTAACGAGTCTATTAAAGCCTTTTTACCTATTTTTGAAAGTATATATTAGAATTTTGAGCCATTATTCTTACGTACGGCATTTCATTAAATTTAAAATGATGTAAATAAGTACTCGAAGTGGTTGTATGAAACAAAAATGTGAATTTAGTATTCATTCTTTCCGCGCGTAAACTAATCGTTTGTTGTGAATAAACAATGATGAAAAGTAATGCAGCAATCAATTATAAACGCTGAAGTTTATGTGTTTTGTAAATTTGTTACTTATACATAACTTAGACTAAGAATTAAGGTACATACTGTCATTGTTTAAAACTGTCTAAATGTATCAAACTTACATGTTGGTTTTTTTAAAATTTAAAATATACTTCGTTCTGACATCTGACGTTAGTTTGCTGAATCGATCATATTATTACTAGTAGGTAGATGCAGGTTTCTGTCATACGGTGGCGACATCTATGCGAATATGATGTCACATTATGATGGTAATAAGTTACTGCCCTACATTTATTGGTAACTTTTACAATTCAGTTCAGAGAAATAACGTTAGATGTCGCAACAATATATTTTTGAAATTTTGCTTTGTGTTGCTACATTTAGGCAGTACAAGATCAAAGTTTTACAAAACACATAAACTTCAGCATTTATAATTGGTTGCTGCATTATCGTTTCATCATTGTTTATTGAATTACAATGGCTTCATGTTCCCAAAAATTGATTTGTTAACGCGCGGAAAGAATGAATACTAATTTCATATTTTCGTATCATAAAAACTCTCTAGTACTTATTTACATCTGTTTCAATTTATTGAAATGCCATACGTATGGGTAATGGCCTCAAAATTTCAATATGAACCTTAAAAATATGTAAAAATGCTTTTTAGGCACGTTAGGATTGTGCACCCTGGTGTATAGGCAACTCGTCATACTCGATGATCCGAAAAACCGGCCATTTTGATCTAGTAGCCCGATATTCAAACTGTTTGAAATTATGGATTCTACAGGCCACATTCTATAAGAAAATTGTTTTTTCCGGGTCGATCTGAGACAATTTTTTTTGAGGTCCTCAAAAAAAGGCAGTGTACAGCCTTCCTTTTTTTACCAAAAATCGACTGCACCAAAATTTCTCGGGAAAACACTTGTTCTTATTAATTTTGGTGCGTAGAATCCAAAACAATTCGTACTTTTTCGATCAGACTTCCCAATCAAAAGTTATGGACTAGAAACCAATTTCGAAAGAAAGTTCAAAGGCTGTAACTTTTGATCTAGTATCCCAATCTTCAAACTGTTTGAAATTATGGACTCTACAGGCCAAATTTCTCAGCTCTTATGGGATACATACTTCCCCATCAAAAGATCTTTTTTAATCAGACTTCACTTTTTAGCCGGTCTCAAGCAGTAACCTCCATCGCTAGCTAACGACGACACTTTTCCGATGCGAAGACCGAAGGAACTAGTCAACTCTGCAATTCTCAACAAAGACCAACATTCTTGGGTAAGACAATGAAATCCTGTTTATACGTTTCTGGATAATCTTATTGTTGTAGGGATGAATACTGTTCACCATCACCACTTCGAATTCGGCGCTGTCATCATCATCATTCCGGTCCATCCGTCATCGAGGTTTACTGGTAGCTACTAGTAGTCAATCAAAGCGACTATGGTGTTTCACTACTAGTAGCTTCAATTGAGAACAAAATATACGTAGCAAGTTATTTATTTTTTAAGTTATCACTGTTACAAGAAGATCTTTGTAATACAAAAAAAGAACCTTATTTCATTTGTTCATCTCTAGAATTATATTGTACTGCCCTAACTGCACTTTGCTGGCAGCTGGCACTAGTTCATCACACGACATAGTCTCCCCCAGCAAAAAAACAATGAAAACTGTGAAAGCAAACGAAATTTTTTTAATTAAAACTTTATTAAAAATTACCCAAATGTAACTATTGAAAAATACAATAAAAAAGTCAAAAATTTTTTTTTTGTTTTTTTTTGAAACATTTCTTTTTGAATCAAAAAACTTTTTTGAATCACCTTTTTGAATTCAAAAAACTTTTTTGAATCACTTTTTTGAATCCAAAAAACTTTTTTGAACACTACTTTTTTGAATCACTTTTTTGAATCCAAAAAACTTTTTTGAATCACTTTTTTGAATCACTCCTAACTTTTTTGAATCACTTTTTTGAATCACTCCTTTTTTTGAAATTTCTCTTAAAATCTCTTATAAGTCGTCACTTGATACTTGATACTTGATACTTGATACTTGATACTTGATACTTGATACTTGATACTTGATACTTGATACTTGATACTTGATACTTGATACTTGATACTTAATACTTGATACTTGATACTTGATACTTGATACTTGATACTTGATACTTGATACTTGATACTTGATACTTGATACTTGATACTTGATACTTGATACTTGATTGATACTTGATACTTGATACTTGATACTTGATACTTGATACTTGATACTTGATACTTGATACTTGATACTTGATACTTGATACTTGATACTTGATACTTGATACTTGATACTTGATACTTGATACTTGATACTTGATACTTGATACTTGATACTTGATACTTGATACTTGATACTTGATACTTGATACTTGATACTTGATACTTGATACTTGATACTTGATACTTGATACTTGATACTTGATACTTGATACTTGATACTTGATACTTGATACTTGATACTTGATACTTGATACTTGATACTTGATACTTGATACTTACTTGATACTTGATACTTGATACTTGATACTTGATACTTGATACTTGATACTTGATACTTGATACTTGATACTTGATACTTGATACTTGATACTTGATACTTGATTCTTGATACTTGATACTTGATACTTGATACTTGATACTTGATACTTGATACTTGATACTTGATACTTGATACTTGATACTTGATACTTGGTACTTGATACTTGATACTTGATACTTGATACTTGATACTTGATACTTGATACTTGATACTTGATACTTGATACTTGATACTTGATACTTGATACTTGGTACTTGATACTTGATACTTGATACTTGATACTTGATACTTGATACTTGATACTTGATACTTGATACTTGATACTTGATACTTGTACTTGATACTTGATACTTGATACTTGATACTTGATACTTGATACTTGATACTTGATACTTGATACTTGATACTTGATACTTGATACTTGATACTTGATAATTGATACTTGATACTTGATACTTGATACTTGATACTTGATACTTGATACTTGATACTTGATACTTGATACTTGATACTTGATACTTGATACTTGATACTTGAAACTTGATACTTGATACTTGATACTTGATACTTGATACTTGATACTT